TCCTCCTCCACACTCTCCCAGTGTTCCAGACTGCTCACCTGATCTCCGACTCTCTGACCCTTCCGGCTGGATTCAGTCGTCTGCTCTGCTGTGCGCTCCCTTCCTGGTCCCTCACCCGCTACTCATCCCAGTTCAGTCATCACGGCCTCAGACATACTGTCCTGAATCCGCACGCTCCGCCCACCAGCCCCTGCTCACATCCTGTGGACCAGGCTGTGGTTTCCTCCCGGGACCTGCAGACATCACTCTGTAACATTCCATGTTTCCATTCAGAACCTTTGTCACACACTCATCTGACACAGCTTAGGGGACCTCCTCCTCTGATTCACCCCTTCTTCTAGTCACCCCAGGACTTTTGCTTTCTGCCCTCCCTCTTGCCCCCCGCCTCCCCTCCACCCTGGCCCCATCTGCCAACCCATGCACGCCACCAAGTCTCAACCTGCATAGAACCCTGGGCCCTCCCATCCACCCGCCTTCTCTCCTCCTGACCTAGCAGCTGTCTCTCTCCCAGATGCTCTTCAGTGTCTCCTCCATCCCATCTGCGCCTTCTATCTGCGCGGATATCCCATCAGGTACTCTCTGCTCACATTTGCACAACTCCACTTCCTTATGCATTCCACTCCCATCTCAGTCAACCCTACTCCTCATGTGTCTTCAACTCCAGGACCAAACCTTGGCGCTCCACCCCTACCTGCTGACAGTGAGTCCCAGGTCACTGCCAGATGCCTTCTCGGCTACATCCATTTGCTCGCTGTCTGCCTGGTCCAGGCTCCCCCACCCCCGCCCCCACCCCCACCGTGTCTGACAGTCTTGACTCTGACTCCTCCATCTACCCCGACTCAGGGGCCCCTCTGCTCATGCTTCACCTGCCTGCCCAGCTCTGCCCACTGCCCCTTCCACCCAGTGATTCTCACCCGAGGGTGCATGACCCCCAAGGTGGCCTATCATATCATCTTTGGGGGTTTTTTTTTTTTGTTTTTTTTTTGGTTTTTGTTAGGAGCAGAGCCCTGCTCCCCCCTCAGATGTTCTGATAGGCCTCCCTTGGGGTCCATGCCCACAGCCCCCCCTCGGGTGAAATCCCCCCCCCCCCCGGGAAGAATCACTGCTGTGGAAGCCCAACCTGACCCCTGAGCTGCACGCCCCCTTCCTCTTCTAGCCTCCTACTGGCTGCCATTGACACATTTTTCTGAAAGATCCCACCCAGCGTTGGCCCCACTCTCACATTATCCCAGTACTGTCTGTCCTCTTGGCTGCATTCCCTTCCATATTTCCTCTTTCAAACCCAATATACCCCAACCCCCAGTCTGCAGAAAACATTGTTCTTTTTACGAACCCCGGCACCCACATACCCTTGCTGCCCTCTACCCATTATGACACTCAGGAACTGTGACAGTATCTTTGGCCTAAATCTGACCTGTCTGACTTTCCCTAAGTTACCCTCCTCATCAGATGCATAACAGTCCCCTTGCAGAGCTTTACCCCTGTGGTCCTCACGCCCCTCTGTTTCCCGCCAACCAGACCTTTCCCTTCCCCCTTTTCCACCAGTACCCTCCTGTCCCCTCTCTGGGTGGAGTCACTGGTCTTCCCCACCCTCTCCTCAACCTGCAGTCATCACCCCAACACTGGACGTGGAATTAGTCCACAAGCTCAATTCAAAGAGATGGTTTTCTCAGTGGCTGGAGCTTGGCTTGTGTTCCCCCATCCCTACCCCCATGCACACTGATCCCTGTCCTGCCCTCCCACCCCGACCAAACCTCATTGCCCACCCGGACCCTTCCGCTCATCCTGTCCCATCCGATCTAGGATCTGCAGTTAGCCTGGCTGAAGAGTCTACCCTCTCCACAACATTTAAGGCAGTCCAAGTAGCCTTTGCTTTCTGCCAACCTCTTTTCTGCTATTCCTTCCCCATAATATTGCTCACATTAGCGGACCCCAGTGTCTTAATATCCTTGTGGTTTGCACCCCTGAGATCTGCCGGATGCCCACTCTGCCACCTCCCTCTTCTCTTTGCTGTCCCTGATGGCGTCCAGTGCTCTCCACCATTCTCCATGCTCCATTCTCCCCTGGGTGCCTCCCCTCGCCTTGTCTGTCTCTGGGCAGCGACTGTCCCGTTGTGGTGCATCAAGACCCCATTTGGAAATCCTTCCCACAACCTGTCCTCACAGGACCATTCCTTCTGTTCCCTCCGTGCCAGGGAAAGCACCCTGCACCTTCTCTAGGGCCCATGCACCTCAAAGCTCCCTGATGCCTGTCATTGAGAATCATTGACTCACTCACGCCTTCTCCATAGGGCTGTGCGCCCTTCCGTGACCTGCTCTCGCTGCTCACACTCTCTCCATCCCCTCACCAGGCTATGCTCTCCAGAAGCATCTGCTGGCATTCAGCTGGTCCTCCCACTGACTCCCTGCACTGCCTTCCCTTTAGGCTCCCTTTCCTTTAGTTTCATGCTGTATCACTTTCCTACCTCTTCTCTCTTCCCTTTCAATCAGACACTTGCCCACAGATTTGCCAAGAGGACCACGCTTCCTTCTCTTCTTCCTGCCCTTGCCTCCACTGTTTCTATTTCTCCTCCATCAGGCTCCTTGGTGCATCTCTGCCCATCGACCCTGTCCGGATCCCTCTTTGGCCCCTTCCCTCTTGGCCACATTCCCCGCACAGCACCCACATGCAGATTTTAAGACCATCTCTCTATCTCTCCGTCCCATTCTGCCATGACTCCTTTGTTGTCTACCAAATCCAGGCTCCAAAACAAGAGCTCCCCACCGCAAGCCACCAGCATCCTGCCCCTTGTTCTCTCCCTTCTGACCACATTATATCCTCAGACCACACCTAAGGCCATCCTTTCCTGGATCCCCGCAGGGACTGTCTCTGCCTCATGCTAGACCTCCACCCTTGGCAGCCCCTCAGAGTAGCAGGAGCATGGAATAGGTAATCGTTATGAAATGTGATTCCTGCCTGCTCCCCAGCAATTTCTTAGCATGTCTGCTACCCACACACTGGCCTCCCTCCGCCTGCGTCCATGCTGATGTCCCTGAGGTGACCTGCCATGATGTCTGCAAGGCCCATCTTAATGTGCAGCACTGCCCCTTCCCTGTTTCACCCCACTCACCATGGCCCTTCTCCCTGCTTACTCCGAGGGCCTTGGGTCATCCAATGCCCAGGCTAAGGCGTCCTGGCTCAGCTCTGCTCCAGCCAACTGGCCTCAATACAGCACATGCCTCTGGCCACCCGAGATCTGCCAGCATCCTCAGATTAGCTCTTTAGGTCCCTTTCCGCTCCACAGTACCCCCTTTACTGACTCTGGGTCCCTCATGTTCACGAGGTTTTCTCCCCTCGTCCATGCCACCTGTCCCTTTTTCCTGTGACTCCCCTGACCCAGCTCCCACTAGTCCCTCCTCCATGGCTGCCTGATCCTTCAGTCTCTCTCTCTCCACACTGGCTGTGGACTGAATTGGCCAATCCCATCATCCACCTTCTCTCCCACTCTTGTCTTCAGGAGACCCCGGCTTCACCTTCAACATGCTCTCCTCCTTTCCCACTACCTGCTGCTCATGTGACAGGTTCCACAGTCTCTCCCGTGACATGTGCTCCCTTTTCCATCTGCACGCTGCTCCCCGTTGCCAGCTTCTGTCCAACGTGCTGTACCAAATCATCGGTTGTCCCAGTTCACCCCTATGCAGCCTTCCCTTTGGGTCTGCCATTTTGAAACAGTGATTGCTTCCCTGGGCTTCTCTCTGACCTTCTGTCATCTAGCCTTGCCTTTCACTGACTGACCTGGCTGTCTCAAGCGTTTTAAATGGGCCACGACTTCTACACCTCATCCTCCTCTACCTTCTCCCTCCCACCCAAGCTCCTGGCTTACCTGCTCTGTGCTCTACCTCCTGCTTGCGCTGCCTCGTGCCCACGGCCTACTTGTGAGGACAGACTACCTGGATTTTCCATGTTCCCCCTTCATGTGGGCTTTTGAGCATCTGTCTCTTAGCACAGTGGTTCCCTGACCCTCTCAGCCAGCCCCTCCTGCCCGAGCTCAGAGGCGCCATCTCCGGCCCTTTCCTTCTCTTCCGGCCCGTTGGACCA